GGGGTGTCCAGTGGTGGAGGGGAGAGGTGGAGTGGCAAGGACTTGGAAGAAGACTCCGGAAAAGGAGACCCAGAGAGAGACAAGACCTTTGGAGTGAAAGGGCAAAATGAAGACACCTGGCAGCCCCGGGAGGGCAAGCAGGTGGTAGTCCCAACCCAACCCCGAATTTTCTCCTCTCCCGCTTGGATCCTTAAGCCTCGCCAGCTTCCTCCCATCCATCCACCAACGCGCTTTCCTGCCACCATCCTTGGGTCGGGTGCGATCCCCCAAGGGACTGTCCCATTTAGAGTGGAGGGGCCGCAGACAGTCTCCCCCAGTTGTAGGGCAACTCATGCAGAACTGTTCCTGAAAGGAATCTGCACCTACCATTGCACAGGAAGCAGTATTGGGTGGTCTTTCCTGCGTCCCTTCCAGCTCCTGTTAGGGCTAGCATGGGGCTTCTTGAAGCCCTGCTTGCTAATAGTGGTTGAAATCCGTGTCTTTCGCTAGTTTTCAAACCTCATCCACCCCCGGAAGAACCTTCGGGGAGTTAAGAATACTACAGTCCCAAACCTAGGTAAGTGCTGTAGGGTAAAGCAGATTGTTCTCAGTGAAAGACAGATGCGTTCCTCGTGTCCCTGGCAACTGATATACATTTGGCTCCCTTAATTTAGCATTCCAGCCCTCCAGTCTTTCTTTTTATGTAATTTTCTTTTTTTCATGATTTCAGAGTGGAAGGGAGAGAGAGAGAGAGAAACATCAATGATGAGAGAGAATCATTGATCGGCTGCCTCCTGCATGTCCCCTACTGGGGACCCAGATTGCAACCCCAGCATGTGCCCTTGACCGGAATGGAAACTGGGACCCTTCAGTCCATAGGCTGACGCTCTATCCACTGAGCCAAACCAGCCAGGGCTTGAGGTCCTCCGGTCTTTTTACCAACTCCTCCCCTGGACAACCCTTGCTGCCGGCGCACGCTGTAGAGTCGGCAAGAGAAGTTGGGATAAGAGACTTTACATTTCTGCTCAGCACTTAACCTTTACACCTGTTGTTTCTCTTCCATCCTTTTCAGATGATTCTATGAATAACACAGAAGAAGATGAAGTAGATGTAGGTAGGAGATAAATTCGTCTGCCTGTATCCACTAGCATTCTGCTTCAGCCACGCATGGCTGTCATAATGTGAACAATGTATTGGAGAACTGTCGTTACTTCTCTGTCTTTATAAGGAGTGAATAAAAGGAGAAATACTAGATTAGGAGCAGGGTCTATTTCTAGAGGAAGCTGCGATGGAAAATGTAGGAATGGGCTAAGTCTTGGTGGTCGGCAAACTCATTAGTCAACAGAGCCAAATAGCAACAGTACAATGATTGAAATTTCTTTTGAGAGCCAAATTTTTTAAACTTAAACTATATACAGTGGGGTCTTGACTTACGAGCATCCCAAATAACGAGTTTTTTGAGATACCAGCTGTCTCTCCGCCGATTTTTTGCATTGAGTTGATAGAGTAATTTGAGTTAACGAGCTCGGTCTCCGAACGAATTAAACTCGTAAGTCAAGGCCCCACTGTAGGTAGGTACATTGTTATTAACTTAATTAGGGTACTCCTAAGGCTTAGGAAGAGCCACACTCAAGGGGCCAAAGAGCCGCATGTGGCTCGCGAGCCACAGTTTGCCGACCACGCGCAGTTAGCCGCTAAGACTTTCCAGCTGGCAAGGAAAAATTAGGTCTGGTGTTGAGGGATGTAGACTTGCTTGAAGTTAGAGGTAGGTATGGCAGCCGAGCATAAGAAATTGGGTCCTCATGCAAAAAAGGAATTCTCAGTGCTGTGTCATTTTTTTTTTCTTTTTAGAAGAAAGAGTAGGAGCAGTTGCTTGATACACACTGAATGGAGGGAGCAATTATTAGCTGTCATTTAGGAAGCCTGAGTCCCCCACTGCAGTATCCCCTTTTTTATTCTTGCTTTTATAGTGGACTTGGCTTCCAGTTCACTCTTAAACAAGTTAATCCGACAGTCCTTAGTAGAATCCAGTCATCGAGTCGAAGTCTTACAAAAGGATCCCAGCTCTCCACTCTACTCCGTGAAGACGTTTGAAGAGCTACGTCTGTGAGTACTTTCACTCTGGGTGGGGAGATGCTGGGAAGCATAGCACAGAACAAACTCACCTGCCAATGATAAAACCGCCAGGATCTCCTTTGTGTTTAATCAAATATTAAAATGAGACGCATACATTTTGCGTGCAACTAAAATATAGCTCAGAGGGGAACACTGGGATACCTGCATTGTTCAATGAATGGAGAACGTTTGTTTTTTAAAAAAATATTTTCATTGACTTCAGAGAGGAAGGGAGAGGGAGAGGTAGAAATATCAATGATGAGAGAGAACCATTGACTGGCTGCCTCCTGCACGCCCCCTACTGGGGTTCAAGCCCGCAACCTGGGCATGTGCCCTGGCCGGGAATCGAACCCTGATCTCCTGCTTCATGGGTCTGCATTCAACCACTGAGCCACACTGGCTGGATGAGAACATTTCTGATGGTAAAACATTTTCATCTTGCTGTGCTAAGGGAGACAGCTAAGCCATATTACTGCTTCTCCATAGCAGAATACAGATAGGGGAACACTGATAACCCAGATACCCTCCCCCACCCCTTTAGATGAATTATAAGCTTTTCTCTTTCTAATTATATTTAGTTTCAAATGGCATTAAAATGAATATCTTTCCCCAATGGGTTCGCATTTCTTAGGGATTTGTCATTTGGCATTAAGGAGATGTAGTTTACCGATAAGGACTTAAGTAAAGAGGAAAACTCCAAAATCCCAGTGTCCAGACATTTTCTAAATGAGAGGAGAAGCCTACCTATGATTAAAAGCTGGCTGCCAGCCCTGGCTGATGTGACTCAGTTGGCTGAGCATCATCCCGTGCCCCGAAAGGTTGCCGGTTCGATTCCCAGTCAGGGCACCCAGAAGGAAAAAAGTAATCTACCGACTAACCTGCCAGTTAAGCACATCAGACCATGTGTGCTATGGAAGATGGAAGTGTTCCAGCCCACTCCACTTTTCCTCTCTCTAGCATCTGTCATGAAACTCCAGGGAAAAAGCACTTAAAAATACTGGCTCAGAAGGGTGAGGTGATAGTGTCTTCTGCTCTGAGACAGAATTGACAAAAGAACCACCTACATAGCTGGCCAGCATGGCTCAGTGGTTGAGTGTTGATCTATGAACCAGGAGGTCACGGCTCGATTCCCTGTCAGGGCAAATGCCCGTGTTGCGGGCTAGATCCCTTCTGGGGGACATGCAGGAGGCAGCCAATCAATGATTCTCATCATCAATGTTTCTATCTCCCTCTCCCTTCCTCTCTGAAATCAATATATATATATTTTAAGAATCACCTGAATAAATTTGTCTTCTCTGAAAATAGCGGTTAAAACATCAAAACTTGTCATTCATTAAGAAGAATTAAATAATAAATGTCACGTAGTTTCCTGCTTATGTGGGAAAGGAAACTCTTTCTGGCAGATTGACGTACTTCTGTCGGACCAGTTTTTTCTCTTTCACTTGGTTCAACGGAAAGTCCAAATTAGGTCCGGTGACTGTCCTCATCTTAGGCTCATGGCAGAGCTCCCTCTTTTGGGGGTCCGCCTGTGCAGGCATGATTGTATATGTTTGGGGGTTGAGGTGTAAATGACATATTTCTAAATCTTTCGTTGGAAGCTCAGTTACCAGGGGGCTTGCTTTAGAAGGGCACCTCTCAAGTTTGTATTTCTGAGGCTACTCACCGATCCTGGACTCTTAAGTGTTCGATTTTTTTTTTTTGACAGAAAGGAAGAGTTGCTAAAAGGGATCTATGCCATGGGGTTCAATCGACCATCCAAAATCCAAGAGATGGCGCTCCCTATGATGCTAGCACACCCGTGAGTTTCCGGGTGCCGTGTTCCCGCTGGGTCATTGTTAGTCTCTGATAGTCAGTCTGTGCCCAGTGGTCTCCTCTTTCCTACAGACCCCAGAACCTCATAGCCCAGAGCCAGTCTGGAACAGGAAAGACAGCTGCCTTTGTCTTGGCCATGCTGAGCAGGGTCGACGCCTCGGAACCCTTCCCACAGGTAAGGAGAGGCTGCGAGAGAGACCGGATTGCTTTCGTTGTCAACGACGATATTGCTGCAATGAGATGATAATTGAGAATAGACATTCTTTCATAACATTACAGAGTATTGGGACAGCGATTGAGAGCACAGGCTTTGTAGTTTGTTTCCAATCCCAGCCTCTCTCCTTACCAGCTGAGTGTCTTAGATGAGGTAGGACATCTCTCCGAGTCTGTCTCGTCTGTGGAGGTAACATCTAGAAAGGCCTGGATCATAGTTGTTCTGCTGACCCTGAATCCCAACACCATGCACGGTGCCTGGCTCGGAGAAACCACTCATTAAACACCGAATGAGTGAGCGAATGAGTGAACGAATGAGTGAGTGAATGGATGAACGAATGAGTGAATGAATGGATGAGTGAACGAATGAATGGATGAACAAATGAGTGAATGAATGGATGAACAAATGAGTGAATGAATGGATGTAGACTCACCTCACAGGATTGTCATGCAGATTAAATGAATAGTTGCATTTTTAGCACCGTGCTTGGTAGGAGGTGAGTACTCTGCCAGGGATGTAGTCAGATCCAGCAGGGAATGTTCTGGAAAGTGGCAGAATTTTCACAGCTGGCAGGAGGCGATGAGGACCCCATGCAAGCTGTTGATTTGTTGTGTCACCCTATTTTTTGATTGCCAGCCTCCTTTCATTCCATTCTCCCCCCACCAAAAAAGTGTGACCCCGTAACCCTTGTGTCTTCATGACCCTTCAGGGAGGGGGACCTTAAAGGCAGCTGTCTTTCCATCCCAGTGCTTCTGCCTGGCTCCTACGTACGAATTGGCTCTGCAGACTGGCCGTGTGGTTGAACAGATGGGAAAATTCTGTGTGGATGTCCAAGTGATGTACGCCATTCGAGGGAACCCAAGTATGTGCCTTGAAGCCGGTCTTGCCGGTGGTGTCAGCCCCGAGCCCACCGCTAACCAGCATGTTCTATAACATCTCTGCTTCCGTATGTCTAAAGTGGGGCCTGAGAGGCACCTGCTCACCGGGCTGGTGTCAGAGTAGAGCGCAGGGATATGGACAAAGCGCTGTGCACACGCCTGGCGCCCGAGGACCCTCATGTCTGCCGTTCCCACCTCCTGCAGGAGGACGCGTTTGCATAGTCTTTTCTCTGACGCTCACTTGTTTGGCGCAGGGCAGCTTTTACTGTTTAACTTTTTCGTTAGAGTATTGCATGTGAGTAAGCAGGAAAAATACCTTTAAGACACAGATTAGGCAATAAAAGTGTAAGTTGTTCTTCCTTGTTCCCCAAAACTTGCTTCCAAAGGGAACTATGGTTCTGTTAACAGTCCTTTGAGGTTGCAGGAAAAATACCTTTAAGACACAGATTAGGCGGTACAAGTGTAAGTCGTTCTTCCTTGTTCCCCAAAAACTTGCTTCCAAAGGGAACTACAGTTCTGTTAACAGTCCTTTGTGGGGGTTTTCTTAATATATTTTTATTGATTTGAGAGAGGGAGAGAGAGAGAGAGAAACATCAATGATGAGAGAGAATCACTGATCAGCTGCCTCCCGTACGCCCTCTACTGGGGAGTGAGCC